AATACCATCAAGCTGTTCAAATAAAGATGAGCTGGGACAATGTCACAGCTGGCCAAGATGAGCATGGGAAAGAAAAATATGGTGACAGGAGATACAGAAGTGACTCGGTGTGCTGGCATTCCTTTCTTTCCAGGGTAAAGACATGTGACAGGGCTTGTCACTGACAGAAAGAGCCTCTTCACATTCTATTGTGGTCAAACTTTCCTCCTCCAAATAATACCACAAGTTGTATGTTTCAAGATGTAATTTGTGTACATGTTTTCTTAACCATGGGAATTCAGCATTGTCTTCTCACCCCACAGCCTCAAAAACTCAGAAATGTGCTGGTTTAATTGGGGAAAAGGTTGGGGGTTTGCTTATTTTTTAATTTTTAATGCATGTGTCTGGTAAATTGCATTTCCTTCTAAATTCTGTGCAGGCTGAGATCCTTCTATTGTGCTTCATTAACTGAAACTCATGGATAAATCTTTAAAAGGAGAAGGGTTTCTAATTTCCATGGAGTGATTGAACTAGGGGATTAGGAATCTCATTTTGCACCTCTAAGCGTCTAAGCTCAAACTTTTAAGTTAGTGTAAGCAAAGCTCATTCCTGAGAAAAATTGAAACTGAGGAAGAAAATAATAGTATTTCTAAGGACAAAAATGCAATATACAGTGGAGGAGTTTATCCATCTGTATTTAACATGAAACCCTGTGTTGATTAGGGGCTTTGTGAAAAGTTGATTTTCCAGTTCAGCAAAACTTACAGAAAAAACATTTGCTTCAGGTCAGCTGCAGCTAGTTGCTGTCTCTCACTCATTAAAATGAAAAGCAGGTGTTCACACTTCATTCAACCTTTTTGATCTGAAGCAGAGCTTCTCCCAGAGCTTGGTACTGGTCACTGGACTCAGGAGGATTCTTAATTTCTGTGGTTACAATGGCACTTGAGGTCACATGTAACTAGGCCCCAAAACAAGGAACACAATCCAGGGTCCCAGCCCCTGATGGATGTCTGAGCAATGGAATGTCATGGCTTGTGGAATAAGTTTTCATCAGCCCCCCGAGAGGAGGAACTTCCTTTTGTCTGGGGTGGGCCACAGAGGAGAGGATGTCAGTCTGCAGCTGATGGAAAGGGAAGGTGTCCCTGTGATGGCACTGCTGGCACAGTGCAAATCTCATGGGCAGGTCTGGGCTCCCCGCTGCAAGGAAGAGCTTGAGGGGCTGGAGCGTGTCCAGAGAAGGGAACGGAGCTGGGGAAGGGGCTGGGGGGGCTCAGCCTGGAGAAAAGGAGGCTCAGGGGGACCCTTCTGGCTCTGCACAGCTCCTGCCAGGAGGGGACAGCCAGATTATATTGTAAATGCAGGCGAACCCAATGGGAAGAAATGCCGATGTCTGACTCAATTCAGAAGGCTGAATTATTTATTTAGTATAACTATGCTAAAATACATTAATATACTATATAAAAGGAGGATACTAAAACTACATACTACTTTCTCTGACTCTAACTCTCCCACAACTCGTGACCCTCTCTGAGAGCCCAGCCCCAGGTGGGTTGGATTGGCCATCAGGCTCAAACAAGCTTCACCTGAATCCAATCAAGCACTCACCCCAGCTAACCGATTCTCCAAGCACATTCCACATGGGAAGAACGAGGAGCAGAAGCAGAAATTGTTTTCTCTTTCATTTCTCTCTGTGCACCTCTGTGAAAAATCCTGAGAGGGAGAGAAATGTGCTTGCCACAAGATTAGGATTGGTCTGTTCTCCCAAATAACTGGAGACAGGACATGGGGAAATTTCCTCAAGCTCTGCCCAGGGAGGTTCAGTTCGCCATGGAGGAAAATTTCTTCGTAGGAAGGATTTTCAAGCATTGGAAAAGGCTGGCTAGAGAATGGTAAGGTCATTATCCCTGGACATATTTAAAAGTCATGGATGTGGCACTTGGGGTCATGGTTTTGTGGTGGCCTTGGCAGTGTTTGGTTAACAATTGGTCTTGATGTTTTTAGAGATCTTCTCCAGCCTAAATGATTTTTTGATTTTTAGAACAGAACATTGCCAAATAGCACTGAGATGCTGTATTAACTTCTGACTTGGTAGGAAGCATCAGTAGACTGGATTGAATGTTGGTGGAATAACTTTTCCACATGGTCATAAATTGACAGTTTAATCACAGTTTTAAGGAGGGTTTATTTTTTCAGTAATAACTTGGGTTAATTTTATTATATGTTTCACTTTTCAGTCCAGCAATCTTCAATGCAAAGAGTAGCTTCAAAAATAGAAGGGAGAAGGGGCAGTGTATAAAGGAGTGTATCCAGCCTTAGGAATAGTACCCTGCAGTGTCAGATCTTACAAAGCAGGCCAATCAATATTGTTATGGTAGTTTATGAAAAACCTGCCTTGTGCAAGCTTGGAAAAGAGAGCTCTGCTCATCTTCATTATGAAGCAGTGGTGTTAGATGGTCTTGTCACATGCAGATCCCTTGCTCTAGATGCTTTGGGGTTTGATATTGTGCCTGAGAAGGTATGAGATCATACCCTGATCTCATACCATCTGTTTAGCAGATGGGTGTGTATGGCAAGGCTAATGGTTAAAAACCTGGCTCCACTTAGGTCAGTGGTATCAAGATCTTACCCATGATTGGAGGGGGAGGAAGAAAAAAGGGTCCAAAGATAGGTCTCCTAAATCACTGCTGGGAAAGCCTGTAGGCTTTATAGCCTTGTTTATTTACCCTGCTGTCGTTTGGCTGATAGTTATTTGTGCGTGGCCTTTGGGCAGAATATTTGATCTTTGTGTTTGTTGGTGCAGACTATGAATACATGTAACTGCTGCAAGATATGAAAGAAGTGCAGATCCTATTTCTAATGAAACTGTGAAAATGATAAACTTAGCTGGTGTTGATCAGAATCCTGTTTGTCCATACTGTCCTGTAATGAACATAGCACAAGTATCAATCATGTTTATTGGTAACTCAAGGTGTGCTGTTTGCTGCACCAGACCAGGTGATTAGGTTGTTTTCTTGTAAGCTAAACTGCTCTTTTTTTTTTTTTTCTTTCTTTTCTTCTCTTTAAACACCCAACAACACATAGATCATCCCTGGATTTCTTTAACCCACAGAATACAATTTTTATCCCCTGACCGAAATGTTAAAAGTTTGTGGACTGGAGCATGGCTGGGTGGGGCACTATTCAGTTTCCAGCCTAAAACCCGGCAATGGCTCCTAAAATACAGTCCTTGACAGATTAAACCCAGCTGTTGCACAGGTGCACTGAGGCTGTGCAGCAAGGAAGTTTGCTCACTTAGAAACTTCTGCCTGTGTGCGTCATTAAACCAAGATATTTTTGGACCTCAACTATATACTTTTTGTTTTTTTGATTAGGCGAGGCAAGTGGTCTTCATTAAAGCCACAGACAGCAGAATGGTTTCATCTAAATTCTCCCCTGTAATTGCAGAAAGACAAACACAAGTCTCATAATGCTCTGATTCTTCCTCATCCAGCTAATTCAGTCATTCTATAATTGAGAGTAAAGCCTACAGAATCTTAATTGTTTGTTTGATCTGACACTTCAGGATCCAATCTGCACTGAAATAGTCTATGTGGAGTTACATTTTATAGATTTTTCTCATTGACTCTGAAAGAGCTGTGATGTCCCATTAGGAATATAGTAAAGGGTCTTGATAATCAGTCCTATGTGGAGCAGTTCAGGGAGCTGGTGGGGCTCAGTGTGAAGAAAGAGTCTCAGGAGGCCCTTCTGGCTCTCCACAGCTCCCTGGCAGGAGGGTGCAGCCAGGGGTGTCAGGCTCTTTTCTCAGGGAACAAGGACAGGACGAGAGGAAAGGACTTCAAGCTGTGCCAGGGGAGGTTCAGGCTGGACATCAGGAGGAATTTCTTCACCAAAAGGGTGGTCAGGAATTGGCAGGGACTATGCAGGGAGACGGTAGAGTCCCCATCCCTGGAGGTATCCAAGGAACAACTGGACATGGCACTCAGTGCTCTGGTCTGGGTGGCGACGTGGGGATCTGTCACAGCCTGACCTTGGAGGTCTTTTCCAGCCTGAATGGATCTGTGATTCTGTGGAATGGCCCAGGGAGTAAATGTAGTAGTAAAGTTGGTTTAAAGAAGTAGCGTGGTGTATTTATCTGAGTGAATTCGTGTGCACACCCAAACTTCTCTTGCCTTTGCAGAATTCTGTAAATAACGTGCAATAAATGTGCCCTGCAGGCAGGAATCAGTGACTACAGTGTGTAACTTATTCATGCCAGCTCCTGGGGGAGCCCCAAGTAGTGACAATCCCATCTGTCCCTACTGATTCCAGCTGCAGGTGTGACTGATAAGCAAGGGGGAGAAAAACCAAACCAATTAGTTTTGTTTTATAAAAAAGGCAATTCTCCTGATGTGTACAGCCAGTAGTGATGGGGCTAATTGTAATCTTTGCCATAACCCTTCCTTGCTCGAAGACAAAGCTTGTCACTTGCAATGACCCTTCCTCAGGTGACAGCTACGGTCTGGAGGCAAAAAGCTTAGCACTTCCATAATTGCTAAGAAAGGAGGGAGGTGGCAGTTTTATGCAACTGTTTCCATACTACAATGTGCTGTCTTTATGATTGTTGACTTGCTCCTGAACAGGACAGGGGGGAAAAGAACATGTCTCTGCACAGGAATCCCCTTGAAATTTTGTATTTTACTTTGAATACTTCTCCTGGTGCTTCTCCCAGTCAGAGATGCAGTCTGCACTCCTGTTTGTTATAGCTACTGACATATGCATTGTCATTGCACTTCTCTGATGGGATTTTCTATCTCAATCCCAAAGCCTGCTGTATCAGTGAGGTCTAAAATTTAATTATGTGTTTTGGAAGAAAGCATTTCCTCCATGTTTTTGATCTTATTATCTGATCATTGCATTAAATCATTAAATCCACATTTGTATTGTATTTGGAAGCGGGCTGTTCTTGTAAGTTTGACTTTATTGGGCTCCAAATAGAAGATTACCATGCTGATTCAAATATTACATGTTACACATTGTTGCAGGTCCTGGAAGCTCAAGAACATTTTGCAGTTCCTGAAATGTCTACTTCCAAGCTGAAAATGGCAGCACAGCAAGGCATCAGCAATAGCACAAAAGTGCATGGTAAGTTTTCTATCTGCTGTTGTCTCATGTGGCATTTGGTGCAGAAATCCCATCTGGTCATTTACATTCTAGCAGAAAAAGTCACCATGAGGAATTGAATGCTTCAAAAGAATCGAGGCTTATATTACTTTTCATTCAAAAATAAATGCTGTAAGTGAGGTTATGAAGCAGGAGCTCAGAACTGGGGTCAATCCTCTCCTTGAAGGCTTGAGGCCTGATTAGGTTCAGGCTCTTAAATGGTGCACACAGCTGATACAGGAATTAATGGGATTGTGATCATTGGCTCCAAATGCATCGAGCTGATCCTTGATGTGGACTTTAGCTAACATGGAACTTGAAATGTCTAGAACCTTCACTTTTGCTGTGAAGAGGCTTTCATGAGCCTTTCATTTTAAGGACATTTCTCTTGTTTACCAAGGTCTGCTTTCTTGTGTTTCCATTTTAGAATAGACTAAATGTGTGTTTTTTAACTCTTGTTCAAGTTATGTTAATTTTTATTTCAATGTTTGCATGAATCCATCAGTCTTTTGCCTCTCCTCAGCTGATAGGTGCTGAATATCTATGGTCCCATTCATAAGGGACTGCAGAATTGCATTTTGATCCAGTCCCACAGCTGACATTCTGCTATGGGCTGTGGATGTCAATAATGTGAAATTTAAACAGTAGATAAAATTATTTTAAGAACATGCTTGTTAGGGTTACTGTACTATGCAGTAGGTTTCACTGTATGAGAAAGCTGTTATCAAGGTGGAATGTAATTTGAACTTGAATTCTTCAGAAAATAACCTATAGCTAGAGCTGTCATAGCATCAGAAAAAATAGATACTTTGATTTCATTTTTGCAAATGAGTTATAAAATCAATGCCATAGTTCTCATAAGGGTTGCTTTCATGTTTTCGATAATTTGGATTAAAAGATGATGTGGGTCACTCTAGCTTCCCTCTTCATGGCTTCTTCTGAGATGCATGTGACTTTTTACATGACTCCAGTCTTCCTTTAGGCACACCAGAAACTCAATAAAACAATTTTTTTACTTATTTATATTGTCCTCTAAATCACAGAATCATAGAATGGTTAGGCCTTAAAGATCATATCGTTCCAATCCCCTGCTATTGGGAGTATAAACATCTAGTGCAACTGTGGTGGGGAGAAAAAAAAGGAGGAAAAAAAAAGCACAATTGTTCTAGTTTTATTTCATAAAAGCTGCAAAGTCCAGCACAGGTGATTGAATTCACAGCCTTCTGCCAGTACCTGAAGTCCACACTCACAGCAAAAAGCTGTTCATTTCCATTTGGTTTTTCCTCAGTTACTCCTATGGGGAAAAGAAACTTATCATCTCTAGTCCAAAAGCACTTGTGAACTTTTTTTGAAAGTTGGTGGGAAATCCTCTTAGTGCTTTGGGTTACAGGACAGTGAGCTGCTTCACTTGCCATCTGCAGCTTTGGAACACCTGAGCTGGGAAGCTTGTGCTTGGCATCTGCCTTTAACAAGAGTGCTCCTGCTTCTTTTTGTGTCTGTGTGTTTGCTGAGAAGGACTTTTGTCTTTCTTGTGTATCTGACTGAAGGAGAAATGGGCAACTGGAGTAAAAGGCAAGGAAGATATTATTTGCAGTTTTTTATTTCACTTTAGCCTCATTTTTTTAAGCACGGTAAATGTAAAATCCATACTCTGATCTGCAATCCACAATTTTATGTTATTTCCCTTATTTTTTGTATTTCCCTTGAGATCAAGGGTCCTTCATATTGAAATTTTTTTGTGCAACAGATCATTTCTCTAGCAGCTATTTTCTGAGGGGATGATGGTAAAGCACATTCCAAGCCATTTAATTTAAAGTGCAGTGCCTGAGACTGCTTTCCTTGTCACCATTGCTCAGGATGAGGTTCTCATCAGACTTCTTGTTTTAATAATAGGTGAAGTTTTTGTTTGACAAACTCATTGAGTTTGCACAAATGATAAATATGTCTCAGTTTAAGCCAGCAGCAAATTTATAGTGCTTGTCCCTGGACTTGTTTGTGTCAGGTGCTGTTCCCAGTTCTCCATGCAGCTGTGGCATTTCCCTTCTGTCCTGACTTGTAAGGACCTCTGATGTCCCAGTCCAGGCTCTCTCTTAAGCAGAACTTTCTGCTTGTGCAGGACTGTATGGTGGTTTTTCACTGTTGACAGAAGTCCACTAGGATGCAAACCACCAAACTCCCATTCTCACTGTGACCTAAACCAGAATTTAAACTGAAGTCTCTGGAGGTGAAAAACCAGGCTACTAACAAGAGATGGGAGAGCCTCACATAGTTTGGTTCAGACAAAAACCTTAATGTTAAGCTTTTCTGAAACCATTCTGGTCCAGAAAGCAGCATTTCAGTCCCCTGAGAGTAGTTTGCATTTTCTGATTCATTGCATAATGAGATTGGGACTCCATTTCTGAAACACCAACAAAACCAACTTTTTTTTTTTTTTTTTTTTTTTTAATTTTTATTTTGACTAAAATCAGTGAGAAAAGGCATGCATGCAAATATTTAAAAAACAAAAACAAAAACCACATTAAGAAGGCCTCGTGTTTTGCAATCTCAAACACTGGGTTTGTTTTCTGGAAAACAGTCTGGAAATGTTTCCTCTTACTTGAAATTTTGTTTTACCATAGTAGTCAGTCTCAATGAGAGAAGCAAAACTCTGGTGCTTATGCCAGAGGGGTCTAGAAGAAGGACTGGGTTTAAATAGACATTAGAAAAAGAAACTAATAGTAAGAATCTGAATCACTGGGACCAGACTGCCTAGGAAATGAGTGTCATTTCTATCAGTGAACATGAGTGGCTGGATAAAGATTTTGTAGAACTGAAAATTTTAGGGCTGATCCTAGGATAGGAGTGTGCATTATAAATTGTCTTCAAATGGCTTCCAGGTTTATGATTCTGTAATTACTTGTCTGATACAACAAAATTCTCAAGTGTATTAGTCTTCATGTGAAAACATCATACTGAAAAAAAAAACCCTATAACTTAAAGATCACTCATAATTTACTTTATATGGCATAGCTTAGCAAAGACCTCCCTGTTAAAATTATGGCAGCCTTTGCTTGCTGGGCTTCATTTTGGTCTTCCAGAAAACCTTTGCACAAAGCATTTGGGAGATGCCAATTGACTAGTAACTATATCCTGAAATTGCTGTTCTGATTTTAACCCCAAAACAGGGGTTTATTTTGCATCCTGAAATGAATAGGGTATTTTCACTTCCCTTATTCTTGATACTCAAAAGTTTAAGTATGTGTGGGAGAGACATGCAGAGGAAGAACTGATGATGTGAGAAGTACTAGATAGAACTACTGAAAACAGTAGTTCCAGTAGATGAGACCCACTCAGATAATAAAAATATGAGTCAGCTCTCACTCATGTGCTAACAGAGAAATCAAATTTTCTCTAACCAACTGTTTTTAAATTTTCTACATAAACACAATGATGCATCAGGATATGTCTAAAAATAATTCCTCCTCCACAAACCCTGCACAAAACCACTTGTGCTTCTCAAACACAACTACTGTGTTGTGAAGCCGTGGGTGAGTGAATGGGCTTGGTTGAGTTTCAATCAAACCCTAGTTAAAGATAAGAAAAAAAAATTCTAGAATGTCTGTTCTGAAGGGAAGCAATGAGCTGAATGTGCTGCCACAGTTCCTCCATTTAACATGGGTTTGTCAAGTCTCACACTGTTCATTGGTGTGATGAGCTTCTCTGAGTTTCTCCAATTTTTGCTAGTTTCTGGAAGTGCTGTGTCCTTCTTAGCAGAGCTTTTTGCCTTCCCAAGAACTATTGAACGGGCCCCTCATCTGAGCTGCATAGTTTTATACAAAAATTTAATTCAGCTGAATTGACATATGGCAAATAAGGTCACTAGAGCTGTTCATTTTGCTGTGATCAGCTCGAGTAGGAGCTGGCTGAAAGGGCAAGATAGTATTTGAACGTGATGTAGGGAAAGTGGTGTTACACTGGAAAGCAGGAAACAAGTCCATTTTTACAGTTCTGCTTTTGCTTTTTAGAAATCAGCTCAAAACCCTGTATTGATCTGCTATTGCTCTATTATGTTGACCTGCTGCTGGGTAGCTTGGTGAGAGAAGAGACATTCTGGCTGTACCTTCTTTCTGTGCAATGTTAGCTGGGACTGGTTGAAGTGCACACAGGGGATGATGCTGCTGTTGGGGACTGTGTGGCCAGGAGTTTTAGGGCTGACTGTGTGGAGCAGGACACCCATGGGAGACACGAGGCTGGAGAAGGATGTGTTCTGATGTTTGTCATGGTGTGGAAACCCTGCTTTCTGTGGATCACTGCAGTCAGTGACAGGCTTTGTGCTCTCCTCTATAGGAGTTCCTTCTGAGGACCATCAGGATGTCAAAATCATGGAATCACAGAATGGTTTGACTTGGAGGGGCTGTTACAGCTCTTCCCATCACACCCCCTGTCATGGACAGGGGCACTCCCAGGTTGCTCCAAGCCCCATCCACCCTGGCCTTGGGATTTCCAGGGATGGGGCAGCCACAGCTTCTCTAGGCAACCTGTGCCAGGGCCTCACCACCCTCAAAGGGAAGATTTTCTTCCTAAGAGCCAATCAAAGCCTGCTTTCTTTCAGTGTGAGGCCGTTTCCTTTGTCCTGTCATTCCAGACCCTTGTCAATAGTTTCTCTCCATCTTTGTACCAGGTTCCCTTCAGGTACTGGAAGGCCACAATGAGGTCACCCCTCAGCTTCTCTTTTGCAGGCTGAAAAAAACAAATTCTCTGAACCTTTCCTCACAGCAGAGCTGCTCCATCCCTGTGGTCATCTTGGTGCCTCCTCTGAATTTGCTCTGACAGGTCCGTGTCCCTCCTGTGCTGGGACCCCAGGGCTGGAGGCCACTGTGCAGGTGGGATCTCACCCAAGGGTACCAGCTGCCCCAGAGGAACCTAAACCACCCAGTAAATGATGGAGATTGATTTAAGCCTGACATGAGGAGCTCAGCTGCCGTAGTTTCACTGAAAATTAT